TTAAAAGGCTCGGGCCGAGATGCTTCGTCATCATCATCATCGTCATCATCATCATCATCAACACCAACATCATGCTCATCGTCATCGTCTCCGTCATCGTCCTCATCATCATCATCATCGTCATGATGCAGCATACCCTGACTGTCATGCTTGTCATGATCGTCTTCCTGTTCTTCACAATACGGAACCAGGATCCGGCGAAGCCGAGCCGCATCCTCTATCCACGACAGGACGCTCTGAACCCGGCCGTACACGCCTAGGCAACCAGGGCTCGGAAATGCAGCCCGGGATAGAAATCGTTTCGGGGTCTGATGCTGTGGGAATAGTGGCTGAGGATTCGGTTTGGAGGCTCGAGATCACCCAGCCTCCACCCGAGAGGTTTGAACGGCATGGGGGCTGCTTTTCAACAAATCTCCGGAGACGAAAGAAGCTCCTGCAACCTGATTATGAATGAAGCAGGGTTGGATCCTGAGGCCTGCGACTGAGAACCCTGTGTTTTCTGTAAGCCCCATATCAGATCGTTTCTCTTGCAAGAACGCACGGTCTTTGCTTGCAGCCCGAATTCGGCTAACCCCTCTCGACAAAGGACTTTGCTCTGAGTATTTACTACTGAAGCTGTGACTGTGCACCCTCACTGAATCCTAAACCCCGAAGGCTGTCAGAAGCCCGGCTGCCTGGAAAGCCTTGGAAGGCGCAGCCCTGTCCCCAGGACGTCACACCCCGCAGCACGTACCGGCCCTGCTCCTCGGAAAAAGGACGGGTTGGGACCTTAAAAGCCCAGGCGTTTCGGCATTCCAGTGCATTCTGAAGTTCGGGTTGCAGGCGACGTCGGGCTTAGGGGATGTGGCTTTGTGGCAATTTTCAAGGACAAGGCCTAGGGCATACAGTCTCCGGTTTAGGGATTTGGGTTTAGACATCGGGCTTTCGGATTATCTTTGAATACGTTCTCAAGGCATTGGGACAGTGCAGAGGCTCAACAAAGGCTTTCAGCCTGTGAGTGTGGCTTGTTTAGCTAGCCTGCCGAGAATCTGAACTCACGTCCTAACATTCCTCGCACAAGCAACGGCACCCCCAACCAACGGCCCCAATGCGGGAGATGTGTGCAAATCCTCACAGGTACTTCTGAGCTCTGAAGGTCTCGACAGCCCCGAAGCAGAGCTTCCAAGCCAAGGCTCGAGACAGACCAAAGGCCCTCCGCTGTCGCCTTTTCGCTTTGGGGTTTGGGATGCGTTCTCGGGCCCGGAACTCTCTCAGAGGTCGGCGTGTGAGGGGCCAACGGGCCTGAGTCTGAGATCGATTGGGGAGATGGGGTCTGACATCGCACGCCGAGCCCCTGAAACCCCGCCTTGGCAGGTGTCTGTGATGCCCAAATCCGTTCTGCCAGACGCACAGAGCATCGAGCCTGAAAAGCACGTCTCGGCTTTCGGCATTGCAGAGTGGATTTTGTAAGGGGCAGTCCCTGCAGTGACATGACTATCGCACAATCACAAGTGAGCCATAAAGAAAGGAGCAATGCTGAAGCTTTTGCACCACCGAAAGGTTGGAGTCAATTGCCCCGTCGGTGAAGCTCGAGTGGAGCGGTGGTGAATCAAGATGCCACTCAAGACACCAAAGCGATGATGAAGTTGATGAACACGGAGGAGGAGGAGGAGGAGGAAGAGGAGCACCAGGGAGGATGGAATTGAACATGATGGTGGCGATGATGATGATACTCATGCTCACGATGATGCTGATGGCGACGACGATGTCGGCATGATCTCAGAGATCGGTCAAGGCAGGACTCAGCTCGCAAATTGTTGCCACCGCGGACTTTAGGTAGGCAGCTATGCTGTGGTGATCCTCGAAGCACGCACTTTCCTCGAAAGGGACTCGGAGTGCCTGTGATTATGTCATTGCTCTCCGTGTAGTTCAGCTCGCATTCTTTGTTGGCGAGTAGCGCCCTCAGGTGCAAGCTGAGCGGACGGATCGAGGGCACTGCGCTTCTGATGATCATTGCCGGAGTCGAGATATGTGATCAAACATTTCACAAGGTCAGAATATGACCAGATGAAGAGCTTCGAGATATTGCGAAAAAAGACTAGGGCTTTGCAGTCTTGTCGACATGCCTAAGAGCCCTAGGATGCTTCAACCGCGCAAACTGCTGCACATTCTAGCAGTCCTAGGTCCTCAGTGCCAACCCTGAGCCCTCAACCCTACCTGCCCAACTTGGGCCCACATCTTGTGAAGCTTTATGCCTCACTCGAAAGCTTGGAGGTTACTTCGAAACTCAACACACATACTGTCACATACTGCCAAAGAAGCAAACGAAACCTTCCTAACCTTGTGCCTGCAGACCCAAATTCCACACAACAGCAGATATTCAAAGACCCTGGACCCTGGACCCGGACCCTTTCGTTCCGCCAAGCGACACGGGTGCCTCCTTTCGAAGAGTTTGGAACTTATGCTTCTGTTGATGCGCCCTTGGACCCTAGGGGCCTAACTCGGCTTCTGGTACAGGGCGGTTCTGTGGCTAAAGAAAGAGGTTAGTTAAGCAAAGTCCCCTAGCGGCCCTAGCTGCTGCCGCTCCGTGACGTAGGCTCCCCTTGGCCGGCAGCCCTCCGAGGCTTGCCGCAAGAGACCCCTCCGCAGCCCGGAAATAATGCGGCGTTTGCCGCGCGTGCTACCATCCAGCTGCTGCCGGTCTGTCTTCGTCTTTCGGACGTAGTGCGTCTGTAGATCTCGGTGTGGAGATAGTCCGGATTCTTTTGCTACTTTAGCTGTCAGGGATGGAAGCGTTGAAGGGCTTATCTTAGGGTCTGATTCGGAGTTCTGTAGCCCTTCCATTCAGCCCCGATCAAGCCCAATTCTTACTGCGCCGGCTTTGAAAATGATGAGTTTCTGGCTTCAGCGTCTTGAAGTTTGGGCTAGTCGGTGCACACCCTCTGAACTCCCGGGTCCTGCAAGATGTCTGGAGTGGGGCCCTGGGAAATGATCGTGCCCCAGCCAGTGATCCGGCAGTCCTTGGCCACTTTGCCGATTCAGCACTCGTTCAGGGATGACGGGGCATTCGGGGCAGTAAGGCTGCAGATTCCAAGCTCCTCGGGTACCAACTAAGACTCCACAGCAACAGAAACTCCTCCAAACATTGCAAACGTTTCCGTACTTCCAGTCGCGGCACAGTCCCCGGCTCGCCGACACTGCTCGGCAGGCAGGCTGTGCCAATGCAGTCATTGATAGGCACCGGCTTGTCTAGCCTCTCACTAGAGAGGGAGAAAGCATGTAGGGGCAGACCTCTGCAGACCTTCGTGAATCACAAGGCCGGCTTTGTACTCCCCAGCGCTCCCAACTCGCATCTACGAATTCCCTACGTCCCTACGGGCAAGCTTGAACCATCCCGCTGTTCAGATGGGACTTGGACACGGAGGAGCGCACCCTACGTACTGAGCCGTCCATGAACAGCTTTCAGGCCGAAGTGGGTGGGACTCGTGCATGGCCTGGTGGGAGAGACAGAGAGAGAGGTAAACACCAAAGCGAATATAACACATACAGTATCCGAGCCTTACCCGCTCGAGGTCTCAGAAAAAACACCCTCTTCCGTTTCAAAGCAGTTGGAGGATGCCTCTAGGCTGCACCATCGATCTTCTGGGACATACATGCAACAGAGGAATGTGCTTACTCGGCCAAGTGGCTTCAGCAATGCGAAGTCGTAGTCATGAACTACATTCTCTTCGTAAAGGGGATGCGTGAAGATCTTCCTGCCACACATGCCACATACAGGTCGCCAGCTTGCACCCAAAAAAACTCACTCGAAACTCTGAACTGTTCCAGGAAGGTCGCAAAGGCTAGGCCCACACCGCAATTCGCGCGGCTGTGGGAAGGCACCCTGAAGTCGTTCCCGAGCTAGGCCCAAGTCCGAGAGCGGGAGGTTAAGAGATGCCAGGGGTAGTGCAAAACAAGAACAGCGACACATACGATGAACCCTGAACGATTCAGAATTCAAGAATGCCAGATGCCGCCGGTCTGCTTGATCCGACGCTCCTTCGTGGTCAGGGAGTTGGGGGCTTGGAGCCCCGAGCTCAACTCTTGGGTTTCCTGCTTCAGGGTGCTCTCGTGTGGGTTTCCGCCCACTACGGCCTTGAAGTTTTCTGTTTCTGTGTTTTGCAGGGTCCCAAGTTGCAACGCTCAAAATGTGGATTTTGGTTGCTTCGGCACCTACGAGAAAAAGAAGCCCCCACTGCAGCACCCTCGACCATGGATTTGGATCGAGCCGGCATATGCTCGAAGCTTGCTGAAGAGTTTCAATGCTTCCCGGCTCGAGGACTAGCATTTGCAATTGCCGGAAGAACAAATAAACCTCGTCCTGAGATCTGTATGAGTTCTTCGGTGTTATGCAGTCAACCAAAGGAAATCGAAATCCCCGGTGCGACCCTATCACGGCGCGTCTAAGGCTCAACAGAGGAATCGCTCTCGTCCGCATTCTCCCCCCGCTCCCACTTGCCGGCACCTATCCGCAGGTTGCGCACCTCACGGTCACCAAAGGCAATTTGAATGCTTACCAGAAGATGGAAGGACACGGAAGTTTTCAGCTTCCAGTCGAACTGCAGCTTCGTTCGGCCTTACTTTGCTGAAACATGGCCCTGGATGGAAGCAACGGGTAGGGTGCAGGAACCGAATGGCAGCACATGTGGGCAAAGCTGGTGCTCAGCCCGGAGCTTTGCCGAGGCTCTCGTGAGAGCGCCGGGGTCTACAAATACAACCACAACGACTACTAAGAGTACCAAATATCCTTCTAACACCAACAACAAGACCAGCAGCAGCAGTTGCACCATCACGAGCACTGCCAGTAGAGGTCACCATCACCACACCACCACCACCACCACCACCACCACCACCACCACCACCACTGCAGCCACCAGCAGCGGTTCGCTTTGATTCTGCTTCATCACCACCACAACGGAAGTGGCCTATGCGACAATCATCAATGCTGTTGCCAGTCCTGTGGTCGATGCAGCTGAACCAATGATTTATTTAGGCCGAGGGCGTTGGCTTCAGGTTCGCAGAGGGCTCAAGCTTCAACAAGTGTATAGGCCCTACTAGCAGGAATAGCAGGACTTGCCTGACAGGTGCTCCGCACGTCCATGACGCAGTGCGCTGCAGTCAAAACCCAGTCTGGAGAGATCAGTGTGCCCCCGCAAAAGGGACCACCTTGGTTGTTGTTCCTGCTTGGCCCAAAAACCTATCTACTTTTGCGAAGCGACCAAGGAAGCCACCACAGCAGTACAGATGGTGGAACTCAACAAGCACCTGCCCTTGCCTCTGAAATCAACATCGCCAAAATCACAACCATCAACCAAGCTGTATTGACAGCCCTACTTAGCCAGCTTTCAACACATTAGTCAGGGGCATGAGTTCACCCAGCTGTTTATCTCTGAGCAGCTCTTCGAACCTCCTAGGCCGACTTGCCATCGCCAGACACACTGGGAGGCATCCTCTCAAGGGGTCAGGCTTGAAGCTTCCTTGCTTGAGTCAAGGCTGAAAATGTTTTTCGTGGACGGTGGAGAAGTCGGTTTGGGAATCTGCGGAATCTGGTCTAGATGGCATGCCCTGAAAGCCCGTTGCCTCAAGCACTGGCGGACGGCATTTGAGGTCTCTCCCCCACCGTAATCAAGGATAGATCATCTTCACTGCGCACATGACCACCCATTGTAGAAAACACTCGCCATCACCATCCCTGTCATTGTCATCATCGTCTTCCTTGTGTTCCACTTTCATTTGAGGCCAGCACGCCGTCACATCGAAAAAAACGAAACCTGCACCACGAAAGCTCCATGCCAATAAACCCGGACCCAAACCCCAATTCCTAATCACAACTGCCCTTTCAAACCACTCCTTGCCATGCACGATTCGTTTGGTGCTGGACTCGGAGCTTTTGCCCTTTCCACGGCCCAGAACACCACACTGTTGGAGGTCCTGCTTCTGGGAGGGTCGAGGGACTCGGGCTCAAAGGGCTGTGGCTGAGAGCATCCTTCGTAGTCTGACAACTCCGTATCACATCTACACGAGGCTGTGTGCGAGTCGAAACAGACTGAACAAGGCTTGACCAATCTGCTTGAGTCGAGCCATCTGTCCACTATGTATTCTTTGTTTTATCGGCTTCCCCGACAAAAACAGAAGACAAGTCTTCGCGACTGGACAGTAAAGGCCGCAGGGAAGACGCTGGGGAGTTTCTCTAAGAGTTTGCAAGGCCAGCAAAGGCTGCGAAGCAGCTAGGCTGGATGCTTCTTGAACTACCACATCCCAGGCAGTGCCCGACCGCATCTATGGAGTCTAACACGAATATGACCTGCACATGCCCACACCCCACTTCGCGATTTGAGGACTCAGACTTACACCGACACCATCATCAGGCCGACAGCCCAACTAATTCCCGAAAGAGTGCAAAGCGGTCACAGAACAAGCCCTGGCGGTCCGCGGGTCCTCTTTCCTAAGGCCTGTGTCTACCTCGCCACCACGCAAATTGGCTCTTTGAATTGTTGGCTCCGCAGCTATGCTCCCGAACCAGGCGGCCAGAATTGCAGAAACCAGCATGATCAATCGGCCGCGCGGTGAAAAGAGGATGGAACACAGCAAACTTGGAGCCGGTAAGGCCGCAGCGAAGGGTGTTAGGATCGTCACTAAACAACTCCTAGGGTGGACGGTTGCAGCCACGACCGTGGTTTGCCTACGCAGCCTTGTCTTTTGTCGAAGCTAAGTAAGCCGCCTGATGAATCTCAGAACCTGGCTAAATAGAAATAAATGCTGGCGAGCTCAATCCCAAAACCGAGCCCTAACTTGAAAGTGCCAGGAGCTTTCGTGCCTGCTTCAGGAAGGGGAGTTATGATGCTACCATGATGTTTGACAGGCTTCCATGGCTTTGAGGAGGGGTTTGGAAATTGTCGGAGAGTCTTCGCCAGACCATTGTGCACTGTTGCGAGCGTGCTCATCAACTCGACGTCGCGGGTTCCACGACCCGACTCTCGATGGGAGGAGAAAACCCCAACCCCGAGCTAAAGAAGCCGGCTGGGCCCAACAGTCAAGAAACCTGCGCAAGTAGTCTTTGGGCTCAGTGCTTCGGAAAGTAAAGCCTTACGCAGTACTTCACTGAGTGCTGACCCGGAACATCTGAGCCTCCAAGTAGCCTCCTTACCCAGTTCAACGAGTCCGATCTCCGAGGATCGTGCAGCCCTTGTCGCTGGCAGTCGTCGGCCCGAGCTTCCAGCATCCTGAGAGGCTCTGACTACATTTCCGCAAGGAAGTCAACGAAAAACACACACTTTTTAGGTCTTGTCACTCCGAAACGCTGGCTGAACACTGGTCTTGATTTCTGCGACAGTCTAGCAGATCCTCTCGCGTTTGAGCACGAGCACCCCAACAACGTTGGTTCCACACGCAATGTACACAACAACCCGAGTTCCAGGAGCCATGCGTGGCAAACCTCAACCTACGTCACGCCATACCGTGGCCACTTCTAGCCGAATGCCCTAGACCCGCCTTGCCACTGGTTCTTTGAGCCTTCTCCGCTCAGATCGATGACGCTCAACCTGAAGTATCTGAGGTTCAGGGTTCTTGCTGCAACCCTTGCCTAAGCCAGCTCCATCTACATGCAGAATGCAGGGACAGTTTCGGAACCTTGGAATGGCTGCTCTAGATTCTGCAAAGCACCAACTATGACCAGGAGGCCACGAGGAGACCACGAAGAAACCACCAGAGACAAAGAACACCACGAAACGAGGGGGGGCACATGCGAATCCGGCACTCCGCGGCAACAGATCCTCTGTAAATGGTACGATGCGAGGACACGTATGCACTGCACCGCAGCGGAAGCCGGGCGTCGGGAAATGCTTTTTCCATGCGCCGCATATACCCTATTCAAGACGTAAGAACTCCGTGCACACTGTCTAAGCCAAATGCCCTGAAATCTCCAGCCTTCATGGCAGAAATGATGGAAAGGAGTCACGTGTACCAGTTTACTCTCTCGGCAACTCTCTGTAGGTTACGTGACAGTGCTTGGACACATCGGAACACCTGATAAGACCATGTAAACAGAAGGGGATGCTGCCGTGCCGTGTTTCTGACATTGAGTTGTTGGGTGCATTCTAAGCCCGACAACCAAGCCGACTGTCAAAGGATATAAGAGTTGCCGTGGCCATTTTGGCAAACACTCGACTACTTTGTTTCACCTTGCTGCCTGCAACTTCGCGATAGCATTGCGGAGTTCGCGTCACAGCGTTGCAGAAAACGCTCAGATCGAGCACCGAGCGTGCCAAACAAACCTAACTGGCTCAGAACGTACCAATAACAAACGAACTGTGCTGTGCCATTTCAGGCCGTGCAAGATCGTGCAAGGATTGGCCTGAAAGCTTCGACACAGCGACGAGTAGCAGGTGCAAACTGCTTATGAAGCTGGTAGTCAACTACCATCAGTGTAAGACCGACGACACTGCCAAGTCATAACAACCTGAGAGCGTTCTGCCACGCCTACCATCTAACCGATGACTTAAATTTCCCTGCAAAGTCTGGATCTCAGCTACCTTGCACGAAACCCGGTGTGACGAGCCCCTACAGTGCCGGCCTCCTCTTGCAACCGTCGTGCTGCGCTCCGCCGCTGGTGCTGGTGCGAGGCCAACCTGCAGCTTGCGCTATCTAGACCTTCGTCGATTGGACTAGCAATGATGGAATCCGGTACGATGCGAACGGCTTCGCACTGAGATGTCCTGCCTGCGCCAGAGGAAGCTGTGCCGAGCTGCCTCCGTGCCATGGAGGGGTTGCCACACGACTGGGAGCCGGGGTCCTGGACCTGACAACTCGACCTGTTGCAACTGCCCTGCATCATAAACCAGACAAAGGAAGAGCATCAGTACTACGTTATGGTGTCTTTCAACGCAACAGAAGCTGGAGATGGAACCGCCTCACGAAAAGCTTGTAGACCCCGTGCCAGAAGCACGGCATCAGCGACCTTCGGCCATAGTGGGGAAGTCATGAACGTGTCAGTATCAGTGGCAGTGGCAGTGGCAGT